TGTAAATTTCAAGAGCCGAACCAAAATTTCAACTAACTACCAACCGCCATGTTTCCAGAGTGCATGCTTTGGAACGGCACGCGGAAAACCCGAAACGACATATCATACCATAGCGTTGCAACTCGCGTTGGCGCGAACATAAATAAGCATCATATACTCGTATATATATAAATATTAAAACATTGAAAACCAGGAAACATCAATCTACAACAACTTAATAATTATCATTGCAAAGATATGTACTTGCCTTGTGTTTAGGCCTACGCACTGTGAAAATCAGGTCCATTGCCGATTTTAGTCGCACTGAACATGGCGGGCATGGCGGCTGTCTGGTTGTTTTGATCCAATTCATCTCAGAAAAACGGCATAACTCGATAAATAAGTAGCGCCCAGTAGCGCTCAGTTACCGCGGGCAAGCCAGAGGTTTATAGATTCGTTTGAGCTATTATATGTGACGCTATCTGTGTCGATGGTTGGATACTGAGCCAACTACAAGGTTTTATGGGCAAGAATTTGAAACGGTATTCTAACCCTAGCAATACCGTTTCTTGGAGCTACCCATTGTGCAGTCTGCACGAAAAACTTCCACCCTCATTGGCCCAGCGGGCCTGTATAGTAGAAATGTATAATTCACTGGCCCACACTAGGTTTTACAGGCCCGAATCAATGTTCATCATATTATGAAAGGAGAAACAGAACTCTGGTGTATTCTTATAGATTTATTCTTTCATGAAATTGAACAAAAAATTATCCACTTCCCTCTCAATGTCTCATTACCTCCGCCCAACGGAGTTGGAGGAGGTTATGTTTTCACTCTCGTGTGCGTGTGTTCGAGCAGCAGCAACGAGCGGCTGCTACGAGCGAGCAAGCAGCAAGCCAGCAAGCCAGCGTGTACATGTCAGTACGCTGGCGTATATCGTGGCTTATTCGTGTGTTTGTGAGTCGTATGGCGTATAGCTCATGTTGCTGGCGGAGGTATGCACTCTCCGTGAGTGCACTGTCTAGTTATCATTGTTATCGTACTCATCATCACGCTCATTTTGACTTCGAACAGTAACTTAGGCTCATAGGGTCTATGTCCCCCAGGGTACTGCCGGAACATACCCTGGGTACGGTCCGCTATACCGGAACGTACCCTGGTAACTATTTGATATGGTTAGGGTTAGGGAGTAGGCATAGGCGACTCCCTAGACTCGTTAGTGGAGTAGGCGAGGTACGGTCCAGCATATTAGATAGTACCAGGGTACGTTCCGGCAGTACCCTGGGAGACATAGACCCTCTCAGCATAACTTAGCCAACACGTTCAAGGCCATGTTGAAAACCAGAAGTTGTTGCGACCTCTAGGGGCGACAAACACGTATGGTGTTGACTAGTTACTTCCCCTACTTATAATCGGGAATATGATGCCCTATCGGTAAATATCGGTAAAATTTTCATACAAAATATCGGGAATTTCGGTAAATTCTGAAATATTATTAATAGACCATTTACTCCATTTTCTTCCACTGGCCCATCGGGCTTGTTCATTTACCAGTTTCATTGGCCCCACGGAAAATTTACTGGCCTCAAATACCGGGCCAGTGGTTAATTTCGCAGACTGATTGTGTACAGACAGTGAGTCGGTGACACTGTGGCTGTCTACAATACTCAATAGTAGTACTAGTAGTACATGCAGTACAGTAGTACCAGACACTACTTCTACCACTCGGTGTCGGGTAGTTGTAAATACAGTGTGATTTCATAAACAGTAATGTGCATGTAAAATGTAGCAAATTTTACCCAAAAAAAATTCTGAGTGAGGAAGTGAAGGAGTTTATAACTACATTTTTCTATTGACACCCACATATATTATTGTTTATCATCAGTTACATTGCTTATATTATTAATAGCTAAATCATTCTTAATGATTCATAATTACGAAGGAGGTCTCTGTTTACAGACGATTGTCACCTTAACTCGTCGCTTCTCGCGAACATCGCCCAACATGGACCCACCGCCACAAGAGCATCTCAACATGTTCGTGACGCACGTCGAAGCGTCGAAGATGTTCCTCATGGTGTACGGCCAGGCGGACACCGAGGGCCGCACGAAGCTCGCGCGCTTCATGCACGACCGCGAGTACTTGCTCGAGACGACCTTACCGCCGCGGCACGTCGCCGAGCTCGCGATACACAAGACCATCTGCGCGCGGATCGACGGCGGCTGGTACCGCGCCTTCATCGTCGCCACGCTGCCTGCCGAAAACCTCGTCGAGGTGCAGCTCATCGACTTCGGCAATACAACGACGGTCGGCGTTTCCGCCGTGCGACTCGTCGACGGCGAACTCGAAAGCCTCGGGCCGCAGGCGACGATGTGCGTCGTCGGCGACGTGTACCCGGCCGCCGGCGCCGACACGTGGTCGCCGGAGGCCCTCGCGTACCTGCGCTCGGCCGTCGTGTCGCGCGACGGCGCCGTCTCCGTGCTGAGCCGCCAGGAGAAGCGCGACGGCTCCACCGTGCCCATCGTGTCGCTGATGCTGCCCGGCGGCGCGTGCGTCGCCGACAAGTTGGTCTCGATGGGGTTTGCGCGGCGGATGGGGCCAAATCGGGCGGCGGCGGCGGCGCCGACGGGGCCGCCGCGGCGGGTGGAGAGGCTCTCGCTGGAGCCGGGGGAGGAGCGGGCGGTTTACGTCTCACACGTCGACTCCGCCGCGGACGTGTACGTTCAGCATGAGAGCGAGCAGGGGCGACTCGAGAGCCTGATGGAGAAGATGACGCTGCACTACGCTGGCGGCGCGCCCGCCGCGGACCTCCGCGTCGGCGCGGCGTGCGCGGCCGTCTACGGGTCGGACAGCGTGATCTACCGCGCCGAGGTGATGCGCGCGCTCCCAGGCGGCCGCTTCGAGATCTTCTACGTCGACTACGGAAACCGGGAGGAGCGCACCGCGGCGTCGCTCTACGAGATACCCGGAAAGTTCCTGCAGCTTCCCGCGCAGGCGGTGCACTGCGCGCTCGAGGGAGTCGCCGTTGCCGACGACGACGCCGCGGCGACGGCGGCCGCGCGGGAGTTGCTGGAGGGTTACGCGGACGCGCTGACGATGCGAGTCGTCTCGGCGCTCGGCGGCGACAAGTACGGCGTGCGTCTCTACGACGGCAAGACCTCGCTCGCGTCGCTTCTTCGGCGCGGCCGCAGCGGCGCGGGACGGGGGAGCGCCACGCCGGCGCCGCTGCCCGTTGTGAAGGTGGCGGCGGCGGCGGCTTCCGTCGAGGACGTCCGCTTCGCCTCGGTCCGGCTGACCGCTGGAGAGACGCTCGAGGCGACGATCGTCCACGTCGACCCGCCGTCGACCGTCTACTGCCAGCCGTCGCGCGGCGCCGAGGCGCTAGACGCTCTCATGGCGCGCATCGAACACGCGTACGCCGCCGACGGCGGCGGCGCGTCTAATCTCGCCCGCCCCGAGCCGGGCGTCGCCTGCTGCGCTCAGTTCACGGGCGACGACCGGTGGTACCGCGCCGAGCTGCGGTCGGTGAGCGGGCTCCAGGGCCAGGTGTACTACGTCGACTACGGAAACTCGGAGGTGCTGCCTCTGTCGCGCGTGCGCTCGATCGCTCGCGACCGCGCCGCGCTGCCGCGACATGCCATTTTGCGATGGCTGCAGGCTGCGAGGTTCGCGGACCAGCAGGAAGAGGCTGCCGAAGGGGAGAGCGGCTTGCGGGAGGTCGTCGCAAACGTTATCGACGCGGCGGTGCGCGACCTGGCGGAGGAGAGGCTCGGCGAGACGGAGCAGCCCGAGGACGATCGCGCGGAGGGGGCAGCACCGGCGGCGCCCGCGCCCGAGAAAGGTCAGTCCGTCCGTCTGTTCGTCCGATCGGATCGCGATACGTCTTTTAGCGATGGAGACGGGTTTTGTAATCGCGCAGGAGGAGCGTGGATCGTTCACTCAAGCACTCATCTAACCCAGCGTTTGATTTGCATTTGCGTTTGGCAGGGTTCGTAGCGGGTCTTCCAAAGTCTTATAAGTACTTGTTTTGCCAAAAATAAAATAAGGGCCCTTATTAGTACTTATTTTTGGTGAAATCATAGAAAAATACTTAATAGTCCTTTTGCCAAAGGACCCTAGGTTTTATAAACTGTTTACGAGAGTAAGAATTGTTGTATAATTGTATATATAATACGGAATAATTAAATCTGCTGTGCAATTGTGTATATAAATATTATTAGTGTACTTTAATAGTCGGTGATCTATCAGAAATCGTGTAAAAAAGTCTTATTTTGGCCTCCAGAAAGGGTCTTATAAGTCCTTATTTCAACATGTGTCTTACTACTATGAACCCTGTTTGGCCGGGTTTCGGAATCGCACGGGCTGATCTCGCATGGATGGCTGACGTCCTAACGCGTGTTTGGTTCGCATTTGCAGACCAGCCGGAAGACGAACAAGAGGCGACTGCTGCGGGAACCGAGGCGGAGGCGGTGGAGAGCGATTTGGTGGCTGACGACAATTCGCAAGAAGGTATGCCGCGCAATCCGCTCAGATGCGTACAAATAACTTTGGGTTACACAACAGTGAGTCACAGTTAAGTCACAAGCACATACTTCCAGTCTATACTCACGTACGTTCGTTTCGGTGAGAAGGACAGCGTTATGGTATTGGTAATGACTCATCGTTAACTTATCTTTGGAATGTGGAATCACTGACATCGCGATAACGTCAAGAGTAATCTTACTTTATGACGAAAATAAGCATTCAACGTCGTAGCGACCGCTCCAACGTCCATTCCGAAAACCGTCGCCGACCGATTACCTCCACAGAACAAAGTAGAAGTCGCCCATAAGTAACTCACTCTGTTGCCGTGTTTCAGGGGATGTTGCTGTGGCTGCGGAGGAGGGGAGCGGCGAGAGACTGGCGGCGGAGGGGAGCGGCGAGAGACTGGCATCGCCGTCTTCGAGAGCCTCTATTTCGACCGGAAGCTCGTCGCGACGATCGATGCGGCGGCGGCGGCGGCGGCGTCGGCGGGGGAAACGATCGCGATCGATCTCGCGGACGGCGCAGACGACCTCGGAGAGATGCTGGTGAAAAAGGGCGTCGCGAGACGCGCCGACGACACGTCGTCAAGGCAACGGCGCACTCACTCGGGGTCGCCGCCGCAGCAGCCGGCGCAGCGGTACGAGCGGCCGTGCGTCGGCAGCGGGCAGCAGGAGAAAGTGTCGCTGTCGTGGGTCGTGTCGCCGGGAGAGTTCTACTGCCAGCTGATGGCGACGGCTGATAAGCTGGCAGAGCTGATGTCGGCGATCGAGCGATACTACACTTCGATCGGCGAATCGTCGGCCGAGACGATGAAGAAACCACAGGCGGGAGCGGCGTGCGTCGCGCTGTTCGCAGAGGATAGCGCGTGGTACAGAGCCGAGGTGAGTTGTGCTTCTTGCTAGCATGTTACACTTGTGGATTTCTTGCTGTCAAGGATAGTGTGTGGTACCGTACAGAGCCGAGGTGAGCGACTGCTTCTCGCTAGTGTGTTACATTTGTTGATTTATTGTTGCCGAGGATAACCAGTGCATGGTACAGAGCCGAGGTGAGCTTCTTACCGATTATTCTTGTTGGTTTTTTTCCGACTTAATCGCCCCATCGCTCACTCTCGTGGTATTACGTTGTTATTACCTCTGCAAAGGGGTTGGCCAAACTGGTGTGTTCCAGGCTTTACGCTCATAGTATATTTTTATTGTTTCATGTATTTTATTATATGTTCACCGTAGCATGTTCTTGTTGTTTTATTTATTGTATTATATGTTTACAGTAGTAAGTACTTATTGTACTGGTGATTGACAATGTGTGGCAATATAGCTACGACTTGACTATATATGTTTGTGTCTTTGTTTCACAGGTGGTCTCTGTCAATGCTAATGACATCGAGGTGAAATTTGTCGACTTTGGAAATACAGATAAGTGCCAGCCATTGGCAATTAAACAGGTAGGTTCTTGGTTAATTTATTGGTAGCTGTGCCCCTCAATGCTTTCGACCCTGCTCCAGAACCTTTTGCCCTGCCATTTAACATGCGGAGCTCATACGTCATATATGCATCGTCAGTTTGTTGTGTAATCTAGATTAACGTTGGAAAAGCAGTACTTAACGAACCGAATTTAAACCGTCGTTGTACCAGGTGATTTGAATGACTCGTGTTTCAGATCAAAGCTGAGTTCATGAAGCTACCTGTCCAGGCAGTTCTTTGCGGTCTTAAGAGCGTGAGGCCGAAAGACGGGGAATGGACGGACGCGGCACGGGAGACCCTGGAGGAACTCATTGGTGAAGAGGTGCAATGCACCTTCTACGCGTGTTCCAAGGGTGAGCAGCCATCGGGCATCAAAATAAATTGCATAATCGTTGGATGCAGTGTTGGAAATGTGAGGTGTGTCCACCAGTCCAGGTATGGTAACTTTTGAGCAGGACTGGCTAATCCTTCTAGATTTCACTATAGTTTATGTAGTAGAAAGTCGAAGTAGCAGTTTTTCAAAATAAGCATTTGCTAGGTTCGCAAACGAATTTTTTTTAAGACTGCCAGCTAAGCTCCTCCAGTTTAAGTTCGAGAATCGGCGAAGCAACGTCTAACTCAAGTTCTCATCATTTCCCCCTCTCTCTCTCTCTCTCTCTCTCTCTCTCGCTCTCTAGGCAAGTACATGGTGGACGTTGGCGTGACGCCCGAGCGCAGCGTGGCGGACGAGCTCGTGTCACGCCACCTGGCGGTCATTGGCTCGGGCGCGGCGAGGGGCAGCAGCAGCTCGGAGACATCGAGCACGCGGGCCGTGCGGCTGGGCTCTCCCGCGGCGACGTTGCCGCCGCTGATGCGTTACGCGGTCGCCGCGGCGCCGCCGGCGACGATGGGAGACTACGTCGACTGCACGCTGACGCACGTGGAAGGTGGGAGCGAGTCCGTGCCGAGTGGCATTACCGACGGCGGCGTCCGACGTCGTCGGAGGGTTTTGCGAAATCGGTCGGGGGTGGGTGGTAGGGGAGAATCGAGGGCGCGTGCTGTTTTAAATGTTATGTTTTTTAGAGCCGGGGGTGCGAAATCGGTGGGAGGGGACTGGGAGAGAGTCGAGGGTGCACACTGAGTTGTACTATTGTGTTGGGGAATGTACCATTTTTTCAAAGAGCATCTGTTTTTAGAGCTGGGGGTATCAGTGTTTTGGTTGACCTCGTCGAGATTGCCGGCGATTTCCCGCGTCGTTTGGTTATTGATTTTGTTGGGTACTCTGTTTGTTGCAGGACCCTGCAGGTTTTACGTTCAGTTGTCCAAGGATCTAGCCGTGATGGAGGCACTAACAGAGAACCTTAACAGCCACTACTCGACGCTGACGGAGAAACAGCTGAAGTTGGCCAACCCTACATCAGGTACGTACGATAGATTTGTCGGCGATTCCTGACGAAAAGTGCAGGATAAAAATATGCGATGCGTAAGAGCGTCACTTGCATCAGAACAGTTTCGAGAGTTCCAGTTCTCAGAAGACGGTTGTTTTTGCAGGAACCGCGTGTGTTGCTCAGTATGGGGACAGCAGTTGCTGGTACAGAGCAATCGTTCAACAGAGAGCCTCTCCGAGCAAGCTTGACCTGAACTTCGTAGACTATGGCAAGTAATCGTATAGTTAGGTTCTGATCCGTAAGAACGTAACGTAAGTTAGAACGTCCGTAAGAGAAACGTAAGCAACCCTCTGCAGTCACTGAAGCTGTATGTGTGTGTTCTCGACCTGGAACCCATTGTCAGAAACAAAATTAGTCTTAACAATAATCAAAACCGTTAGCATTTTCTCGTAGACCAGACCTGCGTATACTGTACGCCTGCGTATGAGAAACTCGTAACTATACCACGTTTCTGTCAACGATCTACGAGAAAAGATTATTGAAAAATGTCAAGACCAATTTCGCTTCTGACAACGGGCTCCTGAGCTCGTTAACCTCCCCGACGCACACGTACATCGGTCGCTTTGGAACTCGCACGTCCAGTCTTAGTTTTGTTCCTTAGTTGCGCCGTTTGTATATATGTCCTCCTGTATTTCCTTCTCCTTTTGTATTTGTTTCCTTTGCGGGCGAATCGCTCGAAGACCAGCCGACGGCGTGCGACGACGATTCGAACGCTCTTCGCGACGCGTTCGATTGACGCCAACGGTTATTGGTGACGCTTTTCAGGTCACAGCGCGATGATTCACGTGACGCGCATCAAGCTGCTGCTGCCGGAGTTTGCAGAGCTTCCTCCGCAGGCTGTGCAGTGCTCGCTGACGGGCGTCGCCGCGGACACGGACGAACTGACGCGCACGTTCAAGCAGCTCGTGTCTTCTGAGAAGGATCTGGTGGCGTTGGTGGATGGAGTCGACGGACAGAGGTATTCATCTTTCGCGTTCGCGTGCGATTCGGCGTTTCGCCGACGTTTGATGCTTCTCTTGCTCTCACTCTTTCACTATCTGTCTCACTCTCTCTCCCTCTCCTCCAGGGAGCTAGGTTTTTTTCCACAGGAGCTCTTTTTCAAGTCTGTGGGAAAAATAACTTTTACAACAAAACAAAAATTTTACGGGAGCTATTTTTAACCTCACGGGAGCAATTTCGGAGGTTTGAAGAGCGAATCGCTCAGTGCTCCCGTGTATTTTTTTACCCTGCTCTCCTCCCTCTCTCCCTCTTCCCCCTCTCTGTCCCCCTCTCTCTCCCGGCTCAACACAACGTGTGGTCGCACGATGTGGCTTCTCTATGCTGACTCGTAATCTAGTCGTCCCCTATCTCTTTCTGCTCTCTCTCCTCCCTCTCTCCCCCTTCCCCCTCTGTGTGTGCCACATTTCTCTATACTGACCGCAGTCTCCCCGCCGCCGCGTGTTGCAGGTTGGTGACGACGTTGTATGACGTCTCCGACGGAGGCGAGATTAACATCAACGCGCAGCTGACCGGGTCCGGCGCGTTGGCCATCAGCCGATCCAGCCTCGCGGAGGAGGCGCACGACGAGGGAGAGGCAGGGCAAGCGGACCTCCTCCCCGTGGACACGCCGCGCCGGTTGGATGAGGCGTCGCGTATCGATCTTCCCGATGACACGCCGCTTCGGTTAGATATAGCAGCCCACACCGATCTCCCACGCGACACGCTGCCTAGGCTTGAACATACCACGACTCACACGCGATTCTCCATGTGACACGCCTGCTAGGCTTGACATAGCGACTCACACCGACCTGCCATGTGACACGCCTGCTAGGCTTGACATAGCGACTCACACCGACTGCCATTGCGGACCACGCCTGGCTAGTGACATAGCGTCACGCACTGACCTTCCACGCGACACGCCCGCTAGGCTTGACATAGCGACTCACACGGACCTTCCCCGGGACACGCCGTACGGACGAGAGATCCGGCTACTTCTTCCGACGAGCCGATGGCGCCTGAGGAGATTGCGTCTGACGATCGACCTGCCAACGCAACTCGGTTCGACAACGACGACGACCTCCTGTCGCGACTTCGCGACGGTGCGGTCGAATCGACGCGGCGTACTTGCGATCGTGGAACGGAGAGGACCGAAGAACCTGCGGAGCGCCTCGGCGAGGCGGACGCGAGAGAAGGACGCGGCGAAGAGGCGTGCAGGCGAGTCGCGGGACCGAGTCGGCTCGCTCGCAGTTGAGACGCGAGAGCGAGTCGCGGATGGAACGAGCGCGACGAGACGTGTTTCCACAGATGACTTTCGGCGATCGGATGCGGGAGAGTACTCTGCGGCATAACGAACTTTGATGGTCGCTAGGGGGAAAACCAGGACCGATAGAGTATGAGGAGTCGAGACAGGATGAGACAGAAGCGAGACGGCAGATGAAGGAGGCGGAGCGCAGACAGGATGCAGACAGGGCGAGACAGTGAAGATGACGGAGTCGGCCGACAGGACGAAGAGACCGAGCGAGACAGGACAGAAGAAACACGAGCGCGAGACGGGATGAGATAAACCGAAGCCGAGACGCGGACGAAAGCAGCTGGCAGAGCTACCGGACGACTGTAGCGCAGAGCTACCGGCGATGTAGCGGCAGAGCTACGGTGATGTAGCGGCCAGAGCACTACCCGGACGATCGTAGGCGGCAGCAGCTGAGCGGGCGACTGTAGTGGCCAGAGCTACGGGACGAGGCCAGAGCTACGGACGATGTAGCGGCCAGAGCCTACGAGGACGAGGCAGAGCTACGGGAGAGGCAGAGCTACGGGAGATGTCTAGTGGTCGAGAGCTACGCCGGACGAGGGCAGAGCTACGGAAGAGGCAGAAGCTACGGCGACGATTAGAGCAGAGCCTACGGGCGAGTAGCAGGGCCAGAGCTACGAGAGACGACGGCAAGAGTACGGAAGAGGCAGAGCTACGGGCGAATGTAGAGGCAGAGCTATTGGGACGATTGTAGCGGCAGAACGCTACGAGACGAGGCCAGAGCTACGGGGCGATATGTAGAGTCAGAGCTCGGGACGATGTAGAGGCAGGCTACGGGAAGAGGGAAGAGCTACGGCAGCAGAGGTACAGAGCTACGGGACGATGTAGAGGCAGAGCTATGGGACGCGATGGTAGAGCCGAGCTACGGACGATGTAGTGGGAGAGCTACGGGCCGAGGCAGAGCTACGGGAAGAGGCCAGAGCTACGGGACGATGTGTTAGGCAGAAGCTACGGGACGATGTATTAGGCAGAGCTACGAGCGAGGCAGAGCATACGGTGAAGAGGCCAGAGCTACGGGACGATAATGACTGTATGAGGCAGAGCCGTCACCGGCGGCACCGATGTACGCAGGTCTCCGTAGATGCTTCCGAGCGGCAGCAGCTCTACCCGGGACGACTGTAGACGGCGAGCTAACCGCCGTACCGATCTTCACCGACTCATTGTTGTAGCGCAGGCTACGAGACTGATCGCAGAGCTACGGCGAAGACGGCAGAGCCATACGGGACGGATTTGCTGATAGCAGGCAGCAGCTACGGGACGCATGTTTAGACAAGAAGCTACGTAGACGAGCGCGCAGAGCGTCCATAGCGACGAGTGCAGGCTACGGGATCGACCGAGCCCAGAGCCTTACGGGGACTCGACGCCTTTGTAGAGCCAGAGTTACGGGACGTGTTAGAGGCAGGCTAGCCGGGACGATCATGCCTCTCTTTCGTACGCTCTGTCAGCGGCCCAGACGCTACCGGGTACGACGCAGAGCTACGGGACGATGTACGTTGGGAGAGCTACGGGACGACTGTAGCGGCAGTCATGTACGGGAAGAGCAGAGCTACCGAGACGATCTGTATTGTAGATGGGCAGAAGCTACGGGACGACTGTAGTGGGAGACGACTACGGCACGACGGCCAGTTATCGCTACCGGCGAAGAGGGAGACGCTACGCGCGGACGTCTAGTAGACTGAGCCAGAAGTCCTACGACCGATCTTACGACCCTCTGCTAGAGCTACGAGACGACGCGCTATGGCATATCGCGAGCGACGACCGGCAGCACGCTACGGGTGAAGAGGCAGGCTACGGTGGCGAACCCATGTAGTTGGGGGCTACGGGACGATGTCAGTGCAGAGCTACGCCGGAGCCCGCAAGAGATATCGGTGACGACCCCTGTTAGTGGCGAGAGCTGCGGGTACGATTCCTCTGTAGCGGACAGAAAAAGCTACGGGAAGAGCAGAGCTAATCGGGGACGATGTAGAGGGCCAGAGCTAGGTGGAACGATTTAAGGCGGCAAGAGCTTACGGGAAAGAGCAGAGCTACCGGGTACGATGTAGTGGACGAGAAGCTGCGGGGGGGCTTCCTCGAATTCCCCTTGGCCACGCGCGCAGTGAGTTCCAGCCTACGAGAGGACTAGATCCTCGCTTAGTGGGATAGTCTCACCTGGGCACGACTTGGCAGAGTCTACTCGGCGACGACTTATTCTCTCTTTTTTGAGTCTTCCCGCCCATCCCCCCTACTTATGGGGAGAGATATAGGGCAGGGGCGTTAGAATCGGAGCAACCCGGAGGACGAGATTCCCAGCGCTGCGATTCAAGCCCACACGACATTCCGATTGTTTTATTCATTGCTCCGTCGCGGGCTCCCGACGCAAAGCTCATAACCTCGGCATTCCACAAGCTCCCCCCGCTGACGCCGGCTGCAAATTTGAGTTCATCTCTAGTTTTCGCCCCCTCAGCTCGTCTCGCCTCTTGCCGGCCGCTCTCGCGCTCCTCCTGCTTCCTCGTCCTGCTTATGTTCTGGTGTCCCCCGTATCCGTCGCGTTCCATTCTAGTATCACCTTAGAGGCTCCTCGCCGTGAGAAGACGTCTCCAGCGTTCGCTCCTGTCGGAACACGACTTTCCCACTCGAACGCTGTGTAGGTTGACGCAGATTTGTAGTAGCGCGGAGACGCGGAGTGTGCTATGCTCCGCTAGTTCTCTTAGGCTAGCGAAACCGATCTTCGGGAGACCTTTTCTCTTCGCTCGGCGAGCTGCTCGACAGTGCTGGTTGCTGTCGCCTCCGTCCATTCGTCCCGAGTCAGACTCCGCCGCCTCCTCGCCCAGTGGCTCCAGACGCCTCACTGATGATACTGTCAGCAGCCATAACGCCTAAACAGTACTCGTGTCTACCTGAACCGATCGGTCCTCTGCGTTCGATGAAAGTTGTCGAGCTGCTATGTGGAAGCATCTTCTGTCTTAGGCAGATGATTGTAATCTTTTTAATGGTTGGTTTAACTACGTGGATGTTTTTTACCAATACTCGCTCTTTAGCTCATCTTGGACATTAGTCAGATGCCAGCTCTGATAGATCGACTCCCCATTGATCGTCCGTAGCGTCCGTCCGTCCGTCCGTCGACGGCTCCGTCCGTTGCCGTCAACAGATTGGCCACAAATCTTAACGCTCGACGTACCGTCTTCACGGCATCAATGTTCGGCACATCAGGGGCGGATCGTCAAAACGAGTTTGGGGTGTCGAAAGCTGGGGTCAAAGGTCCACAAGGTCAATGAGGTTGTAAAGAAGGGGGTAACATTCACTCCTTTAACTTAAGTTATATTCGGAGGAAATGCAGGCAATTGCAGGCAACAATCTAAACTGGCGCCACGACCATACGGCTTGCCGTGATAGTCGGTGTATAGATTTCATGCGTAGGAAAAAGCATCATCCTGTGCCGAAATTCGAGAGGTCACAGGTCAAAGTTGCTATGGTTCAGTCGGGCACAGGGCAGATTTTAGACAATTTTCTGAGGACATCGGCTGACCGGACGCGATTGAACCAACTTTTTTGTTTCAGCGGTGGACTAGATTTTATGGCTTTAATTGGAAAGGACCATGAGAATGTCCCTTCGTGCTGACATGCGGAAGAGTAAGTGATCGGATTAACCTATTTGACCCTCAAGAGGAGGGTTTTTAAACTATGGATTTGTTCACTGCTTCAACAAAGATGAACTGCTTTTGCCTCAGTAGAATCCCCTTTCCCCCACCCTCCCTTCCCCCTCCCCACCCTCCCCCCCACCCTTCCCCACCTCTCCCCCTACCTCCATTCTGCCGATAGGGTGGGCGGTGTCTAAACCATGATGTGTACGCAACTGCGTGTCTGATATCTGCGACCTAACAAATGTGGTACTACGCACGCACTGAAATTTTACGTTTATAATCGTTGCCAACAGACCCTCAATGGCAAGCCTCAGACGGCTCTGCGGCTCATTGTTATCGCTATCCTGGACAAAACTAATGATATTTTCATCTTCCAGATTATTTTTATTCGCATTTTTTCTCATGATGTGTTATTAGTTAAAAAAAGCGAAAGTTGCGGCGAGTTGGAACATTGCTTCTCATGTCTACAGTCTCTCATGCATTTGAAGTATTCAAGCCTGAAAAGTCTGTGCAGTTCTGAATATCTCATTCAAGTACTCTCTTCAACTCTAGTAGTTGCATACGTAAGTGTTTGCCGCCACAGCCGTGCAAATTGCATGAATTTCGCGATTTGCAGGCGATCGTCCGCGGCCAGCAGAGCGCGTCGTGCACGGACTCCGAGATTCGGACGGCCAACGCGATTGTCCGCGACTGCTTCCTCTTAAGTCCGGCAAGGTCTCAGGAGCTCTGCATCACGGGCAGTACGCCACCCAAGCCCGCATTCAGCGTCCCCTCTGCTATCGTGACTTTCTCGCCGCTCCGTTCCACTAACTTGTTCTTCTATTTCTGTATAATCGGCTCGAGTTCAATCCCGGATTAATATATCTTGATATCATTACCCACCCCTGCCTCCCGTGATAAGCCGACACACGACAACGGAAGCATCCGCGGAGCCGCCCCCGCCCCAAAGACACTCGCAGTGCGATCGCCTGCACACGGTCACGCAGTGCAAGCCACCCACCACGTCATGCACGCTCTCCAGCTCGCCCCCCTCCCCCCCCCACGCTAGCCTCTCTCGCGCAGCTGTAACCCCACTCACCGCACGCTCTCGCTCGGCCCCTCACACACGCTTGCTCTGCGCGACCCCCGCTCGCGCTCATCGACCCTGCCTCCACGCGCATCTCTCGCGCCCCGTACACGCCCCCAGCGGGCTGTGATCGTTTATAGGCCGTTGTAATGATGATTATTTAGTTGTGATCGTTGTTGTTTTTCATCCGACGCAACTCTGTTCTCTACCCGCATGCGTGTTAACGATAAGCTGACATCTTTAGAGCACGAGTAATAGCGTACCCCTCAATCCGCACACCAGGCGCTAAAACATACACGGGAGAATTCGTGATGCGTAGCGATTCGGCTCTTCAACGCCTCCGAAATCGCCGCTCCCCCTGTGGAGGCTCCAAAATAGCCCTTAAAATTCTTTGACGAGCAGCCTATGTTCCCCCCCAGCAAACTTGAAAAGAGCTCGCCGCTGGAAAAAAAGTACTTTCCCCCCCTGCTACCCATGCCCATTATTGCGATGCGCTTTGCAGGGTCCGCCCGAGCTGCGTCCCCCTCCTCCACTGTCACCTACCTATCACTGTCGCGATTCGTTTCTTTTTTTGTTTCGTGTTTCGGCCGGTTCGCGGTACCAGCTAGGAAAGAGGCATGCCTGTCGATAGGGTCCGAGAGCCGGCTGGCGGTTCCCGAGGTCGTCCGCCGAACCAGTTTCATCACGACGCGGCGGTGCTGCGACCTGGCGGACGGAGTTCTCGGCTCCGGTCGACGACGGAAGCACAGCCCTCGAGACGACTCGCCCGGAGGGCCCGGCAGCAGCGGCTGGCGCCCGCGCCCACGCGGCCCCGAGATCAATGGTCACTCCGTTCCGCTCTGCTATCGGTCCGATCGAGATTCGGCGATACGTCTTCCTTTTAGCGATGGCAGACGCGTGTTTTGTAATACTCGCGCGCCAGGCAGGAGCGTGGATCGCTT